GATCACTAAAAGGAGGCATCACCAGCTGCTCAACATATACTACAACCCGTGTCCACCTACAGCCTGATTTCCACCATATCTAATTATCCTAACTTGTGTGCTTCCACATCAACAAAATTACTGCAGTCGGTAGATTTACTAGCCTGGTCCATTGGTATATGTTCGGTTCGATCCACTCATGAGAATTCTCTACTATGCAACGGAACGAGATCCTCTAATATCACGAAGGGATGTCAGGAAGCTACAGTACCCTGACATCCCTTCTTCACATCTATATGATTAAGCCTAAAATGACTTGAATTAATCTCTAAATTACAAATCTACTGTATACATTTACAAAAATTACATACAAACAAAATTACGATGCAATAAAATTAATTTCAGATTTTATTTTCTATGAACAGTAACTGTGCACAATGTCTTTGCTACAGTGTCCGTGACATCCCTTCTCCGTTTTGCACTGGGATTGCACTGTAGCTTCGTGACATCCCTTCATAATGTTAGAGAATCCGTTTCCTCGTGCAACATGCATGGTGCATTTAAAGTGGGTTTTAGATCACATTGCATTTAATTGTGACATGCACGACTCTTCATGTTAAGACATTCTTTTATTTATGCAGATATTTCTCAAGTAGTTTAAATCGGAAGGACTGAATTAATATTCTACACAATATTTAGAAATTACATATCCAATTTCACAGCAATGCACGGGGTATCGTCTAGTATATAGGGTAGGCTGTGGTCTTCCTTTTCATCCAAAAAATGTATATATACTGATTCCGGCTTAAATGCTACTCCCTTCGATCCAAAATAAGCGCCGCAGCTTTGAACTCAAATTGAACTAACCTTAGTTCAACGCAGCGACACTTTTTTTTGGATCGGAGGAGTACAAAATGTTACACCCAGAAATATTGAGACAGAAACGAATGATTGAACAACCAAGTCGCACTAGCAACATAGCTTGAACGACGACCAACTTGAGCAGATCATGAGAAAAAATAAATGAAATAACACTGTCAGCGTCGCTCACAGAACCCAAGTCACGCGGCAACGTAGTCTTTCCCCGACGATGATGTCGGCCGCAGCTCGCCACCTTTGAGAAAGCCAGAGTACCATCGGACAGAATTCCTCACATACCGCGTCCTCCCCCTGGCGTTCATGTCGACGCCGCACAGGCCGAAGCGCGACCGATAGCCGAAAATGAACTCGAACACGTCGAGGAAAGACCACACGGTATCCCCGCGCATCCGACCCGTTCCTGCAAGCACAACACCAAGGTTTACTTGAACTGAACTAATCCCTTCTCTGTTTCTTGGACACTTGTACTCAAGAGATTCGACAGAACTCTTATGGTGTTGGTTTTCTTGACATGGCCATGGTTGGAGTTCATGAAAGACATTTTGATCGTGATAAACAAACACGGTATACACACAGGGAGATAAAAAAAACTCACCGTATGGACAGGTAGAGAGAACCTCCAGGTAATTTTGCAGGTACTCTGATCTGTCCTCGTCGTCGTACTCATCTTTCTCCGGAGCTCGGAGGAGTCTGAAAACCCTGAATCATCAAACAAAAGGTTCTTCATGCCTTTGAAATTTCTTTCATAGGTTAGCATGTTTCGTTTCTCAGTTCAAACCAAACCGGCGAGTATTTACAGTGCCAGCTCATGTTCGGAAAACATGTCACTATATGCAAAAGCAAGTTCTGTTTTCCTTTGGCCTACCATTTTCATGGATCATGACTGGAGGGTTTCTGTACGTCAACCTCAGGTGGTCCAGTAGCTTCCCTAGAGCCCAGGGAGCAGACGCGACGTGGCCGTGCACAAGTCACACTAATCAAATTTACACATCTTATGATTGTTTCAGAACCAAAGTAAAGAAATAATCACAGTGAAGGAAGAAAATGATGCATGTTAGTGAGGCTGAATTGCATTAACTAACAGTGATGCTTCGTTTGGATCACAAAGTTGGATTGTAACGGCAGCAGCTTACTTGCGATGACGGCTGCATCGTTGTAGTAATTCCTGTGCTTCAAATCGAAGGCACTCTCGTCGGCGTGCGCGCGAACAATGAGGTAGAGGTTGATGCCCACGAAAAGTCGAAGAGTAATGATCCGGCCAATTTTATTGACTGCTCCACGGTTAAAGCCGGAAACTGTGCACCCATCCTGCTCCCCATCACTGCAGGGTAGTCACAAAAATATATAATAGAGCATCTGCATCCAGGCCCTCTCTATCTAGTCATCCATTTTTCGCATCGCGATTATTGCAAGTACAATTTTTCTCTCCCACATAGAACATATCTTGAAGTTCGTACCTATGCAGCGTGGCAAAGCTTTTTAAGTACTCCCTCCGTCCCAAAATGCAAGATGTTTTTTGACACTAGTGTAGACATCTTACATTTTGAGACGGTGGGAGTAGAATTTAGGATAAATCTTTCAGATTTTTTTGCCAAACAAAAATATACAAAATACGTTTTGTTTGTTTTTTTTTGTCAATGACCCCTGTTCACAATTATTTTGAAATCCTGAATATTTTTTGAAATCATGAACTTTTCTCAACAACACAAACTTTTTTTTACAAATTTACGACATTTTTTGAAATTGTTAATTTTTATACTAATTAGTGAACTTTTTTGAAATCATGAACATTTTTTGAATTCGTGAACATTTTTACAAGTCATGAATGTACTTTGAAATCATGAACACTTTCCAGAATCACAATTGTTTTTTTATTTTCAAGGTTTTTAAAAATCCGTTTGGAATTTGCGAACATTTTATCAAACATGGGAATATTTTCGAATTTGTGAACATTTTACAAGTCATGAACATACTTTGAAATCATGAACACTTTCCAGAATCACAATTTTTTTTGAGTCTCAAGATTTTTTTTGAAATCCGTTTGGAATTTGCGAACATTTTATCAAACAGGGGAATATTTTTGAATTCATGAACATTTTTAAAACCCAAGATTATTTTTTCAAACTCACAGACATTTTTTGAATTCAATACCATTTTTTGAATTCATGAAGATGTTTGAATTTCCTTTTGTGTTTGAAATCCTGAAGGTTTTCATGAATTTGAAAAATGTTCGCAAAATGAAAATAAAAGTAAAATAGGAAATAGGGAAGAACAAAAGGAGAAGTAAAAATAAAAAAAGGAACATAAATAGTAAAGAAAAAGCGAAAATTTAAAAAGGAAAGGAAACACGAAAATGAGAAAAAGAAAAATAAAAAATCTTCATGAATTCATCTTCTAATGAAGCCAAAAAAAGTAAAAGAAAACGAAAACGAAAAAAGGGTCGCCCGTCCCTGAGATGAGGGCTGTCTACGGAAATATCCGCCCACAATGATGCTGGGCTAGACGGGCTGCTTCACGCTAGGCTCATGCGACATCGAGGCCCAGTACGCGCGGGCCCGGTTTGACAGTTTCTACTATTCACACATTTCCTTGATTTCTCTCTCTCTCAAAAAAAAACACATTTCCTTAGATCTGTCTCTAGTTCTCAAAAAAAAAAAAAAATCTGTCTCTTCCCCCCACAGCCCACACCCCC